AGGAAACAAAACTTCCAGAACACGGCCACACAGCCCGGAAGACTCACACCAGCCATCGTATCCCGGCCGTGAAAGCCTTCGACAATACATTTATGAGGGTTTCTTAGATATATTTTAGAGTGCCACTTGCATGTTTTCTTGCCCTCCTATTCCTACTTTCCTTTGTGAGTCAATGTGATGTAGTGATCCAGCTGCTAGGGAGACTGAGGTCCAAGTTCATCCTCAGCCATGGAAGATGTCCAAGTGACTTTGGACCACTCCCCCTCTCTCTCTCCACACAATCTATTTCTCAGGGTAGTTGGGACAAAACATGAGAGGCAGGAGAGGTATGGGCGTTATCTTGAGTTGCAAGAGGATGTTGGCCCTTTTTTTGGGGGGGGGGGAAGGATCCGCTTTCTCAATTGCATTCAGTGCAGTTGTCTGCACCAGACTGGTTTTTATAATTCTTCTAACTTATAAAGGTGATAAATTGACCCACATCTTGCCTGCTGGATCTTAGAAGTTATTAGCCCTGGGCCACATAATGAAGCCATCCAAGCACTAAATATAATTATTTATATTTTATTTTGTATGTATACATTTCTATGACCCATAAAAACAATAATCTGACTTGAACATGTAAAATAAAACAAAAAAGGGGGAGAAAAAAAAAGAGGGAAATTTGATCAAGCCTGACACTAGTGCTGGAGGCACAGGGAAATTCAACCCTCATTTTTCTCTTGTAAAAGTTCCTTTGAGTAAAAGCTCAGTTGTCATTGAGCTCTATACCAGAGCTAAATGAGTTGACTTCCCTGCCTTTGAAACAGCTAAGAGATCACAGAAAGGTTTGTCCCTTACACAGGACTCATTAAGGCCTCTTCTTCCCAGCACACAGCTACTACGGACGCCAAACTTCATCCAGCAACTTCGTCTGCCTACCTCTAGGGGAGTCTTCAAAATTCGGCTTTTAAATTTAACCTGGTTATTATTTTCAGATCTTCCTGTACTAGCGTGCATACTTTGCAAGAAGCTTTGGCCGGAATGGTAGCATAGTGGGATGGGAAAGAACAGAAGCTTGTTGCCCTTCCATCACTGACTCTTGCTTTCCTCTACAACTTTTCTGTCCAAAACACATTTTTTGATTTCATACCTACATATAATCAGGTCATGAACAGTTTCAGTATTTAGTTTTTCCCCCAATTATATTCCTCTGTCAAAATATAAGCTCAATTCTGCAAAGAAAATCCACACGTGTACATGTGTACTCACACACACACACAGGTACCCCATCCCCAAACTGAATATTAGCATACAGACTAAAAAAATGTAATGCAAAGCAATAGTTCACTGAGTTGGTTACCGTTATGTATGAGGTGTTATGAAGCAGAATTTGAGCTATTTGACTGTAAGGCTTTGTTTCCCTCTTTATGTTTAGGGGTCGAGTGGGAACAGTCCTGGACATAATTCTCTCTCATTTTCTTCCTCTCTTTCTCTGTGGGAACATATAGCAGACAGAAAGCAAAATGCCTTCTTTGAAGCCTAGTGGAGGCAATGTGGCATCTCATCAGGGACACAAGCTCAGTCCCACTGAGAGCAGGGTTTAGCTTCCTGGTAGCATCAACAGACTGTTCAAACCAGGTGGTTGTAATAACACTCCTTTACCAACTGAAAAACTGATCAGAGAGCTTCACAGTCCTTTCCTTGCTGACACTTCAAAAGCTGTGACACATGATTATGCTACGTCATTGGTGGCTCTTTCCAACTTCCAGCTATGCAATGCTGAGATCAAAAGGGAGGAGATAGCCAACCCATTCCAGCTTAGGGACCTGGATGCCTTCTTTTCAGTACCCTGTTGAACCATTGTGAGACTGGCAGGCAGGTTGACACTACAGCAAAAAGACTTTAGTTCCCTAGTTTTGGCTTCAACCCATTGAGCAACCAAAGCAAGTAGAAGCAAAGAGCCAGGAAGCCAGTGCCCAGGAGATCTCCCATAGCAGTGAGGTAGGGGATGGAATAATTGTCAGGATCCAGACCCTTTCTCCACATTAGTCGCACCATGATGTCAGCCATGTAGAGCAGAATTCCCACCTGCAAGTGGGAAACAAAACAAGTACAGTAGTCACCAGCATGCAATGGTGTCATGGTATCTTAATACTGCCATCTATTCCAGCAGCTGCAGTAGCTGAAAGTGCATACATTCCCACAGCTGAGACAAATTCTCCCCTCTTCCCAGTTTCTTTCCCCAATTTACAAGGGTTAGTGTGTGTCTATCTCATTTTGTCAATTGGGATACATAGGCGAAAGTGGACAGTGAAAGCTACATCTTGGCTGCACCTCTTTTGTACACACCCATACTGTCCCCCAAGTTCTTGCTGCACCAGCAAGCAGAGCAGCAAGCAGACTAAGACTGGAGTCATGGCCTTCTGCCAGGGCATCAATAGTGTTGCCCTGAAGCCAAAGGAAGAGCAATCCTCATACAGTTTACAGGTCTGCTTGCTGAGTAATGGGAGGCGAGAACAGGGCCATCAGGCCAAAAGACACTGGAAGACAGTAGCTACTGTCAGGACTGCAAAGCACAGCCAGGATAAAATAACAAGAGAGTTGGGAAAATTTGGCAACCATGTTTTTCATTTTAAGGGAAAAGTCACTACAAAATTTAGGCACTGTTTTCCTTTGGGTGGGCATGGGTGTAAAATATACCCTCTGTGGATGAAATGTAGACAAAGTGTTTCATGTGGAAAAGTGGGACTTTGGGCTGATGTTAATTGGTAAAAACAAATATATGTTATGGCCATCTCCAAAGCCAAATCCCAAATTCTAAAGGTCAGTATCTGGTTACCTGCAGGAGAGCAGCTATCAGATAAAATGCCACAAAAGTGAAAGTGAGTGCCATGTGGCCTCCCTGAAGGAGATGAATAGTATAGAGGAACACCAGGTGTCCTGGGATCACTAGCAAGATCAGGACACGAGCTGATTTGGAGTTAATGCCTGTAAGAAAGAAGAGTAAAGACAGTAATTAAGGTCACACAGAAAATAAGACCTGAGTTCTTTGAAAGAACATGGTAGGTACTAGTACCCATTATATTTTAGTAGCCTAGGCAAAGGCTCAGAAGGATCCAAGATAATAATAATTGTGTGACCAACAATAATGTATATTTATTATATAAATTTATTATATAAATATAATAAACAGTGCTACAAGACAAACATAATAATAATATGGTTAATAACAACAACAATAAATAAATAAACAGAAGACTGTGATGGAACGGAATAGAATTAGAAACTGTGAAGGTGAAAAATGTATCTGAGAAATGGGACAAAGGGATGGAGAGAGCAGAATCAGAAGAGAATAATAGGTGAGAGTGAGAGGATGGGAGAACAGGGTGATGGTTAGGAGAGCTGTTAGAGAGAGATGAGTTAGGGGTTCTACCCTTACAATTTCCAGCCTCCTAGGGAAGGAAGATTTATTTTCAAAAATTCAAATGATCCCACATATATAATCTTACGTTCAAGTCATTCTATTTCAGTATCAGTTTGAAACTTGTTTAAGACTGATGGCTCTCTGTATGTTTTCCCAAATTATATTTGCTAATGTGCCTTATTATACAGCCTATTCAGCTTTAGACATTGTTGTATATACTTTCCCCTCATATGTACATACTGTATACATATGTAAATACATATGTATACAAACATATACATACACACATTCTTATATACAGTTTTTGACTGCAGCACTGCAAAGCAAAACTTAGAGAAGTCCAAGTGAACATTATTGTGAAATTTAAATTTGATGATAAATCTTCTAGATGCCACAGCATAATTAGCACGTGACCATAGCATAATACCGAACAATGGGCTCAACTACTGTAGAAATGACAGTGAGATATCCTAATACTTTTTATACATTTTAAAGCCCCCTAAATCTGACTAGGTTTGTAGCACTGTTCAAAGAGACAGTTAAGCTTTCTTCCTATGTCATTTTCTCAAAGAAAATTTATTTGCCCTAATTGGCAAAATATTAAATATTATCATATAGATCTCTCATTGTCACTTTTCCATTAGCCTTACTGTTATCCTTATTCCTCTAAACAATGCTGTGGGAAATTCAATCTGCAAATTCCATTCCAATGGCAAGGGTACTGATACAGGTATGTACTGGATTAGTTTGGTTTGGAAATACAAAATAGTTTCTCAGAGTAAAGTGAGGCTCCTCCATGGTGGAACATATCTAAATTGGCATCCTGATGAAATCTTGTGAGGGATTATGCAAGATACAGGAATATACAGTAGGCAAAGCAATTCACTGTGGCTTAAATGGAGAGCAACCTTTCAGAGGCTTCTGACCAGTCTGTGGGAAACAGAGTTGGGTTTTTTGGATCACTGAATGGGGGCCCAAGCACTTCATGTGGTTAATGGGTACATATTCCCACTACAGTGTTATCTGAGATTCTGGAGTCCAGTTATGAAAATAACAAGGGACCTGTGGCTAAAATAGCTTCCTACCTGAAGTGAAGAAGGTGGTACATGGATTAGGCCAATGCTGCCTCATTTTGTGTGGCAGGACTCCAGGCATGCTCCAGAAGTGCAGAAATGTGGAGATGCGACTGGCTTGGATAGCCACCAAATTGCCACCAACACCTGCAGAGCCAACAGACAGAACACGACCGTTAACCCTCCACAAGAGAAAGAGAGAAGCCATGCCCAGAGTTCATGGAAAGTATGGGTGTGAGTCACTGTGGGAGCTCCTACAACAGGGGTGGGCAACCTTTTGATCTCCACGGCCCACAATTAACATTCTGTAGCCAAGGATTGGCTAGGGTGGGGAGTTGCTGAGGATATAAATCTGACAGAGAGAGAATTTTTTTCCACCTTGGGTTTTTGGAGGATTCAGAGGCTGTTCTTTGTTTTAGAGGCTCACACTGTATTTTCTCTGTGTCTCCTACCACACCATGGCAGGAAATCAAGCTACTAATTTTTGGTAACTAAAGGTAGAAATAGCTCAGGGGGGCCACTCAGTTCACTCTGAGTTCGGGTTCTGGAAGGAAGCTTCTAGTGAAACCATTTAAATACCATCATACTGTTATGTTGTCTTTTTCCCCTTAATGGATTTTGATAAGAATACACACACATGCACACATACATGCAACAGAGAAAGCAGAAGGCAATGTCATCTAAGCCCCACTTTAAAATGCCATTAATAAGGCAGGGGGGTTGTCCAATAAAAGCCTCGCCTGGAAGTGTCCTCAGTACAACTCAGTTGATATGGAAAAGGAGATGCATATTGGTATTATATATATAGTATATATAATATTGGTACTAGTCTATATTTGGCACTAGTCAATATGTTTTCAATGTCAGACTAAATTGGGAATTCAGTAGGCTCAGAGGTTTTTACTCCTTTTGAAATGGACAGGCTTTTTTCCCTGCCTCTTTCAAAGAGGTTAGAACAACTTTGCAAGGAATTTGGGGAGAGGATGTCAACTTCTTCCTTCTGTTGGGAAATGCAGGTGAGATAAAGATCTGTACCACTGAAAAACACTGACACCAGGGCCTCTTCTCTGCCTTCCACTATTTTCCAGAGAGAAAGATCTCAGAGCTCGGCTGTTTTCCTGCAAACATTTCGTTACCCGGCTAGGTAACATCTTCAGTGCTCACCTTCCCCATCCCAAATTCCATATGGAATTCTGCTCTTCCTGCATTCAGTCATTAATTCCCTGGCCTTCACAAACACTTTAAATCTGAAGCAAATATTGGCTCAGCACTAATAGTTTTACATCAGCATTCTGCAGCAATGAAGCTTCTGAATAGTTATCAAGAACAAGAACTAATTATTGTGTGAACTTACATCCCCATTATCTGCCCGTGCTTTCTCTCCCTCACGCAGAAACTGAAAGAAAGGTTTCTCTTCTTTTTTTTAGCCTGTACGGGTATAGCACGCTTCGTATCTCCTTTCTCCCTACACTATGTCTTGCAGCACACTGTATAACAGCCCTAATCCAAAATCGCAATTCAGAAGCAGAGGCCATTTTCATAATGTGACTTAAATGAGGAAGCCCCCGCCCCCAGCAAGATCTTCAGCATTTTAAAGGAGCACTCTGTTTCCTTCCACTGATGATGTGAAGAGTTGCCACATAACTTTGGCAATAGTAGGCCTCTCCTCCAGGAAGTATCTGGCACAGACCGTTTGCCGCAGTTCCAACACCTGCTTTCAATTCCATTTCTCAGAAATGAACTCAGCCAGAAGGCTCTTTCATTTTAACCAATTTCAAAGATAAACATAGGACACCGTAATCACATTGTTCTTCTGAAGTCACTGAACACAGCAGAGAGAAAATTGACTCCATCCATGCCAGGCAAATTTAGAAGACAAACTTATTATTTCCAAAGTAATTCAGGATGGCAAAATGGAGAAGCCACTTCCTTCATTCAGCTGATCAACAGGTTCCATGGAAACCTTACATTTATACATGTGGGATCTCCCATTCATTTTTATGACTCCTTAAAATGATCCTGCTCTGAGTTTAGATCACGCTTCTACCTCATTCTTTTATTTTCTTGTTATACACGGCCTTCTGTATGGAGATTGCAATGCAGCTTAAAATGGTGTCTAAATCTCAGCATGAAATGTGGCACAGCTTAACCATTACAAACTCCATACCCCATTATATGAATAAGTCCATTTCTTGGACCCATACATAAGTGTTATGAATGTACATAGCATTTGAAGAATGCAATATTCCAGTAAAAATCAATGTATTTGGGGCATAGGAGTTAGGCCAATGGTCTGTTTAGAGCAGTGTTTCTTCACCTTGGCAAGTTTAAGATGTGTGGATATCAACTCCCAGAATTCCCCAGCCAACACGCATGGTTCAGAGCAATGCAATTCTCCTATCCAGCAGAGTTTTATCATCTGTTGAATTTCGAATTATTTGAATAAAATGGAGATGTTCTAGTACAGAATTGCAACTCTTTTCCTCTTAAGCAGATAAGTTAAATTACTAAATTGAGAAGAATTTTAATTACTGAATGTACTAATATATCCCCAGACTGAAAACTGATAAATAATATGATGTATCTTTGTGAGAGAATCAGGGCTTATTTATCTTTCCTATCAAAATTTGGCACCCCAGTCTTACAGCAATAAAACAGAATCATTTCATTTTCAACCCTTTATTTATTTTTAAAAATCAGCTTACCATTAATCACTGGAGTGAAAACAGCAATCCCTTCAAAGTTTGGGTTTGTTATAGTTTTGTCCAAAATTAGTCCGCCAAGACTGTTTCAAAACACACACCCATTCATTAGTTTAGTTTACTAACAGTCTAAGTATGAATCACTATCATCTGCTCAAGCACATATATGATTACAGGTCATTATCATTAACTAGTAACATAGTCTCAAGTAGGAATTCAAACCTTACTGAAGTCAGGGAGATAAGAAATTTTAGTAACAGAACAAGAGTTTCAAACGTGCCCACAGAAAAGAAAGCGTTAAAGGAAAAGGAATACCAAATGAAGAGATTTAGTGTTAAGACTAAGTATAGATAGGTTTGATTAGATCTAAATTCTCTCTGTTTCAATAGATACAGTAATCAATCACATGCCAATGGAAAGCCAGTGTAGGACATGAACACAGGAGCACCTCCCATTCAGGTTTCTCAGCAACTGACAGTGGGAAATGTTCTCCCCCCAATTATTATTATAGCCCCAAATAAAAACATTGCAGGATGAAAGCCTCTTTATTGAAGATTATGAATTATAATCTACCATGCTGGTCCAATGTGGGTTGGTAGATAGATTTTTTTTAAAAAAATTAAATTTTATTTTCCAGTCTAGGGATGAAAGTGAGTGACCAGCCCAAAGTTACCCAGCTGGCTATTCATATGTTTTACTTATTTGGGGGATCATCACCACTCAGAGTTTCAAAATTATTTTCTAGAAACTAAACCATGTTATGAAGCTGATGTTTTTAAATAATATGTTAGTTGAACAAACTGAAGGAAATTAAAAGCTTGAACATTTTTTACTACACCAATTTCAAGATGATAAGAACTGTAACCTTCTAAACGTAAACCTTCCTTTTTTATTTCAAATACCACAGAAAAACCACCTACAGTGGTACCTCGTTTCACGAACGCTTCTGTTCACGAACAATTCGCTTCACAAACAGCTCCGGTCACAAAATTTTGCCTCCGTTTGCAAACGCTGGATCGGCTGACAAACAGGATCCGCGGCCATTTTCCCTCCCA